GGGTGGGGAGGGAGGGGGGGGGGAGGGGGGGGGGGGGGGGGGGGGGGGGGGGGGGTACAGACAAAATGCTGTTGGTAAACCCGAGCAATAGTTGCTTTTTTACACGCTCCCCAGTAGCACACATCCCGCCGCCGGCCCACCGCACACCACTCTGTGCACCCCTTTGGAGGTCTGAAATTATGACGTGCCAAAGGGGGAGTGGATGGGATCTGGAGCAGCGGGAGTGGTTCGCCAACCCAGAAGAAGCGCTAAAAACTCACGCAGCATTTGCGTGTTGCTCCTCTCGCATCGTCATCATAAAAAGCGAAACGAGTGAGTGGATCGCCCACAAAAAGAAAAAACTCTAGAGAGGAGAATGTATTGGAGTAAGCCGAAGGCTTAAAGGTTACCCTCTACTATAAGTTTTCTCTCCACTAATAACAGATATAAGGATTCAGCAGCATAGAAAATAAACACTTAAGTTCGTTTCTGTTTCTATTATAGTTACAGAGTTCCTGGTGCAAATGGAGAGCGAGACACGCATGAATTGATAACGACGCACTACCTGTTACACCTTTTCACATACGGCAACGGTATACCCCTCAAGCATTTACAGCATTTACAGGGTAAAACACAAAACAACGACTAAAAGGGAAGAAGTTGTACAGGGAAATGGAGAGTGTAGGATAGAGAGAATACGGATGAGGATGAGGAAGGGGAACTGGAAGTGGATGTGGATGTGGATGCAGAGTGAGAAGCGAGCACGGCAAGCAAGTGCTGGACACATATTTGAAAAGGAAACTACGTGAACGAAACTCAACGGGTGGCAAAACTGGACACGGAACGTTAGACAGATGGACATGGGACAGCCAACAGCCGACCACCGGCCACCGGCCATCGAGCCCCACCAATCGTTATCCTACTTCTCATCCCTTTCCTACTCCCCATGCCCCTGACACCCCCTGGCAGCACCATGTTCTCAGCGCGAAAATTAAACGGCGCATAGTTGGCGTTATTTTCCCTTCTTTTTTTTTTTGTTGCTGCCCGTCTTGCCTTTTGCCTTGGCTGCAATTGGGGTCCCTGGTCCATGGGTTCGTAGTCTGTAGTTTCGGTAGTTGGTAGCCCCGGAGTCCACTAAAAGCGCAAATTAAGTTGGCCACTTTTTTTATATGTATATCTGTGAGTGGGGTAAAAATACTGCTACATCTGTATACGGGTGCTTGGGTGTTTGTGCATCTCTGGCCCAAAACTGCAACAAAATTAAAAACCTAAATTGTACGAAAAGAAGCAAAACAAAAAACGGAAGCTAGAAAAAGTGTTTCAACTCCGGGGAGCTCCGCTTTGAAGAAATATAAGCGTTGGGTGGGGAAAACAATGAAGAGATAACTTTTAATTCATCATTTAAATTAATTAAAGAACCCTGTCCAGTATTTATCTGTACTTGTTACTAATAAATATTGTATTTTTTTCATACTCTTCAGGCATTTTCCATGGAGCTCTAATCTCGGACTTCTGTTTATACAATTCTACATTTTTCTAATACTACCATGGGACATAGGATCTTTAGATCGAAATTTATTCTATAGAAAACAGGTATAACCAAAAATAATTGTAGAAAAATTTCTAGAGAAAATGAAACTTTTACTAAATGAATATTAATATTTTCTACTAATTAAATATATAGAAAATGTGAAAGAAAATTGACTATAATTCTGACTTCCTTTGTAAATTAAATTTATAAATATGAAAATATATCTGCATAATTAGTCGTATAAGCTGTTAAATCATATTTAGGATTTTCACACAGAAATTTCACACTATAATGTCTAGCCAGTTGGTTTTATTTGGTCGCTCTACATCTCTCAAATCTCGCAATTCCCTGCATTTCACATTCCACACTCACAACTAATACCAAACAGAAACTGGCAGCAAAAATTAAACTAAACAAAAACCAATAACATCGATGGAGAACTGTGTTCAACATGAATAGACGAAGAGGCTGCACCACAGACGAGGCGGCATCAATTGAACAAATTTGAACAGAAACGTGCTGCAGTCGCAGCTGGACGGGCTTAGGCAAAAGTTTGTAATTACAGGCCACAAACAATGAGACGACTACGACTACGATGATGACGACTATGCCGATGCATTGGCAACTTTTCAATTAAAAACATAAATATAAACCATCAATGGGAGGATGAGGCTGAGGTGGAGGCTGGACCGCAGCAAAGTTAGCAATGCAATGAATGAACGAGCTCTTCTCTGCTGTGCCAAGTTGAATGGGTGGGAGGATGAAAAGCCAACGACTTGTGTCAACAATTACTTACTGAATGGTGATTAAAATGTTGATGCCTGAGAGCACGACCATGGGCAGCAGACAATAGCCCAGCACGGAGGCCACCGCCCCAAAGGTCACCTGCGACCGTGTGACCATCAGCGACAGCAGACAATAGAAGAAGATGCAGCCCATCACGCCAATTCCATAGATGTACGAGAAGGTTACCTTGCCGCTCTGCAAAACGGAAAGGGAAGATAAAGTGGAAAGGTAATTGTTAGTGGGGTCTAATCCGAGAACAACAGAATCCCCCCCGGGTACAGTCGAAACCAATTGTAATAGTCGGGGATATGGTAGGGATTTGCAATACTATTGTTAGCACGGAATGGTGGGTGCTAAGCGTGGGCACTTCTATGTTGGGTTTATGTTAGAATTGCACGTAAAAAAATATATGAAAAATAATTGCCAAAAATCTGTCCTACGTTTCCTTTATATTAAAGGATTATTTTGGTATTTTTGTAAGAATATGTAAAAGAAATTTTGAGGAAGAACTTTTATGAGGATTTCACTTTAAAATCTTTGCATCACACTTTCATCAATCCCTAAGCCACTGTGAACGGGCAATTATAATTGGTTTTGACTGTAATTTGGTTGAGGGTTTACTGCAAATTGTACTGCAAACAAATTGATGGAACAAACCAGTAGCAGGAAGCCGCCAAGTGTGAGGCAGAAGACCAGTGGACCGGCCATGTCTGTGTCCTGGAGTATTTGCTGTTCAGTGCCGCGCAATGGATTAAGCACGGCCAGGGTCTAAAACGAAAGAGTGTAATACGATTAAAATTAGAGCAAGTGAAGGATTACAACAGCGGATTTGCGGATGAATTGGGGATAGGGGAAGAGCTTTGGTCCCATGGCAGGCAGCATAGACCAGGCCCGGCCATCATCATTCACACAGCCTGCGGCAGGACACAGGACACAACACAATTCATTTGTTGTTCGCACAGCGGTCATAAAACGAAGCCCAAGACCCGTTTTCCCAAACATTTGTTCTCTCTATGCGTTTTTGGTTTTCCTCGTTGTATGCCCCCGTCCACCCCTCTGTGCAGCCCGTTGCTGTTGTTCCTTGTATTGTTTTTGCCAGCGTGTGCAGTCGCAGAGAAATTTGAAAAATGGAAATTGATGATAAATGATATTGCTGACCAGCGAGCAGAGGCAGAGGCAACAACAACGAGTATAGGAACCTGGGGGGCCAAGAGCTGTCAACGCGATTTGACGCATGAGAATGTGGAGCAGGACAACAGCAGCCATGAAATTTGATATTACAGGGAGTCACAGCTACAGCCACAGCCCAATGCCCCAGAAATAGTGGTCGATAAAATGTCTGTCGCTCTCCGTCATTAGTTACGTGCCGGGATTGTTGCTACTTTAATTGAGATTGAAAAGCGTTTAGAGGGGAGAAGAAAGGCTACCATTTCGGTGAAAGGTATGTATTTCGAATTCAATTTCGATCCATTACTATAAATTCCACATCGTTGGAGCAGCTCAAAATCCTAACCATAAATCCCTGGTACCCTCGAAGCAGCCGCTGATGTGCAATTTAATTAGCATTTCATTTCATTTTTATGATGGCAACGCGGACTCATTAACATTTTCATTTTTCAATTAACACAAACGTAATAAATTCCACGCTGAAGCTGAAAGAAATGAGAATCAAGCGTACGCAAATTTTTTACAAAATGTACAAAAATGCAGAAAGTTACACAGAAAGAGAAAGGAAGATACAGAGAGAGAGAGAGAGAGAGAGAGAGAAGTGGCAGAAAAAAAGTGAGCGAGAAAAAGTTTAATTAAAAACATAAAAGTTGTTTTATTTATTTAAAAACAACTCCGCGCACAGTGCCATGAAAAAATATGTCTTCATTAACGACAAAACGGCAAATGCAACGGCAACAAAGCGAACAATGCGAAAAAATATAGCGAAGGAAAAAAAAACAATAGAATTATTACCCCCGGGGAGAAGAAGGGAAAGTAAAGGGAGAACGAGAGAGAGGCGCTTGCAATAAATACAAAGGCGAAAATGCAAAAACATTTAAATTTCAATTAAAACGGAGCGTGGCGCGCCAAAGTGAAGTTGGCTGCGGTGGAAAGCTCCTCCTCGGCCTAAAGTGGCCACGACTGCCAACCCACTCCAGGCCAGGGGCCCACCCACTGTGATGCACAAATTAGAAAACTGCACAACAAAGGAGAGAAAATGCGTGAAAGCAGGAAAGAAACGAGAGAAATTAAGAAAAGAGAGGAAATATGCAGTAGGTGGGAGCAGAGTAATTGTCCGGGCAAACAAAGTGGAGCAACGACAAGCCGGGGGGATTCGCGCAGCGCGCATAAAATATGCAATTTGCCCCAGCTTTCAAGATGTCTAGTTAAAAATGCGTTCAACTGCAGAAGGCAGGCAAAAAAGGCAAAGGGATTGGCTAACAAATTGGTTGGTGGTGTGCGGTTTACCTTTTGGAATATGTGATTCGGATTGATGCCCAATTCTGTAAAAAAAAAACAAAAAACAACAACACCATAAGTTGTGCACAAATAACAGTTATCCAATATAGAAGCTCACCTTCGAGTAACGGCGGTTCGTCATCGAATTCATTGCCGGTGCCAGCAGCACCACCTGCTTTGCTCGACTGATCCTGTCCAAAGCTGTTTTCCGTATATGCTGTGGGATCGTAGAAGCCACCCAGACCTTGGGCAGGCGGATTCGCATAGGGAGCATCATAGTTGGGCGGCACTTGTGCCTGTGTGTTGTCAAAGGTTTGGAAATTGCTGCAAGCAAACGGAATCAGCAACGGGTCGGGGGTCGTGACGCGCCGAAGCACACATCAACACTTACAGCTCCTGTCCAAATTCCGGCATATCAAAGTTGTAGCTGGCATCTGCAGAGCCATAGAAGTCATTTGGTCCACCAAACTGAGACATTGCAGTTGAATTTAGACACTATTTGAGCGTAATATTTATGAAATAACAACAAATAATAAAGTGCTACACGTCACTAGTGTGACCGCGGACGTTTCGATTATACCGACAGACCCTTAGAAAAATACCGAAATATATTTGTTCAGTTTCAAAATATACCGTGAAACTTAAACCATCAAAACACAACTCGTTTCATATTTGTAACATTCATAATACATTTTTGTTTTAATTCATAGCTCCAGTTGCAACACACACAAGTTTTTGAAATTAGTTGTTCATCTTTGGTAGAGTAGAGAGGTACATGCAATTGGGGCTACTTATTATTGCGTTCATTAAGGGTTTCCTATAATAATATATGTAGGAATATATATATAATAATATTATTATAATTTCGTAATGTATTCAACGCTTTTCTTGTAAATGTTAGTTTCGTTTCGTAGATGTTTTTTCACATAAAGAGGGAGGGGGAACGAACACGGAAATCGATCAATTTATGAAATTTCTCTAACAATAAATAGCTGCGAACTATAATTATTGTATATATCAACATAGATAGATTATAGTACATATGTATCATAATATGTATGGCATATTTAGTAATCGTATGGCTGGTTTAGCTTCCCGTTTCTGTCTGCATTTTGCATTTGTTTTGCGCTACCGACTAATTATTGTTCGTCTTGCCTAAAACTTTTCGTCGATTCCAGAGGATAAACTTTTCAACTTATAATATAAACTTGGATCTCAAATATCTTATTATGCATTATTTATATATGACTAGACTGAATGGGGGCATGGGGTAAGGAAATTCGAATAATAACCCAACATTCTTTTGGTTTCTTATTTCGTTTTGGTTTCTCCTCTGCTTGCCGCTTTAATCCTCCAGGTTTCGGAAGGCCTGCTGCATATCCTCATACAGCTGATCGTAGTCAGCTTTAATCTTTTGCTCGCCATCCTTCACGGGATCCTAATGAGGAATAGCAAAGTGCATTAATGGCAGGCACTCCTACTTGTCTCTGAGTCTCTTCCTTACCTTAAATTTCATTGAAGACAACTGATACATAATGCTGCCCATTGATTCCCTAATGGTGTTCCATGTGATTTTGTTGTCCGACTGAGCGGTGGACTCCACAGCGTGGCGCGACGTCTCGTAGAAGGAGAGTATGTTGCGCAGCATGCCCACCGTCTTGTAGAAGGGACACACGCGATCGTATGGCGAGTATGAGTTCTGTTGCAGGAAATCATCCTTCAGCAGCTTGGCCACCTCCAACGTCACCTTGTCGGTCTCGGCCAGCGACGCCTTGCCCACCAGCTGCACAATCTCCGACAGATCCTCCTCCTCCTGCAGAATCTCCTTGACCTTGGTGCGCAGTGGCACAAATTCGGGGAAGTTCTTGTCGTAATACTCGTCCAGGGCACGCATGTACTTCGAGTAGGAGATGAGCCAGTTGATGGAGGGGAAATGCTTGCGCTGGGCCAACTTCTTATCCAGACCCCAGAACACCTGCACAATGCCCAGAGTGGCGGAGGTCACGGGATCGGAGAAATCACCACCGGGAGGCGATACAGCGCCGACAATCGACACGGAGCCCTCACGCTCGGGATTTCCCAAGCACTTGACGCGTCCAGCGCGCTCGTAGAAGGTGGCCAGACGTGCGCCCAGGTAGGCTGGGTAGCCAGAATCGGCAGGCATCTCAGCCAGACGTCCGGAGATCTCACGCAGCGCCTCGGCCCAACGGGAGGTGGAGTCAGCCATCATGGCCACATTGTAGCCCATGTCACGGAAGTACTCGGAGAGGGTGATGCCGGTGTAGATGGAGGCCTCTCGGGCAGCCACTGGCATGTTGGAGGTGTTGGCCACCAGGGCGGTACGCTTCATGATGGACTCGGTGACGCCATCGATTTCGCAGGTCAGCTCGGGGAAGTCACGCAGCACCTCGGACATTTCATTGCCTCGCTCGCCGCAGCCCACGTAGATGATGACATCGGAGTTGGAGTACTTGGACAGGGCCTAAGGAATGGGCAAAGAGACATGGAATCATGCAAGCTCTTCGTGTAAATGAAAATCATTCAACTCACCTGCGAGATGACAGTCTTGCCGCAGCCGAAGGCTCCCGGGATGGCGGTGGTGCCGCCCTGAACACATGGGAAAAGGGAGTCGAGTACGCGTTGTCCTGTGAACAGCGGATGGTTGGCCGGCAGCTTCTCGGTGCAGGGACGTGGCTGTCGCACCGGCCACACCTGCAGCATCGTGTGTTTCGTGATCTCGCCATCGAACTCCGTCTCGAGGACAATGTCCTCCAGGTTGTAGTTGCCCGCGGGGGCAATGTAGCGCACTGTACCCTTGCCACGCGGATGCACAATCATGCGCTGCTTCACGAGGGTGTTCTCGTGCACCACACCGTACAGGTCGCCGCCGGTGATGTGCGATCCCACGCGAACATTCAGGGGATTGAATTCCCACATTGTCGTGCGGGACAGTGCCGTGGTGTTCACGCCCTTGGGGATGTATATGGAGTTGGTCATCACGCCAATGTCCTTAAGAGGTCGCTGAATACCGTCGAAAATGTTGCCCATGATGCCAGGGCCCAGCTCCACAGACAGGGGCTTGCCTGTGCGCAGCACGGGATCGCCGACAGTCACGCCGGAGGTCTCCTCGTACACTTGAATGGTGGCCATGTCGCCCTCCAGGCGAATGATCTCGCCCACCAGCTCGTAGTAGCCGACGCGCACCAGCTCGTACATGGCAGAGCCGGACATGGCCTCGGCAGTGACGACTGTAAAGGAGGAGGAGCATTAGTAAGGGGGTCGGTCAGTGGGTGAAGGACAAAGGTCGTGACGTCTTACCAGGTCCCGAGACGGCGTACACACGGCCATACTCGGACTCGCGTTCCTCGTCTTGCATTTTCCTCAGGTTGGACATTGTCGAGGTCTTTTGTGGGCTCTTCAAAATGTAACGGTCTAAAACGTTCGGTCGCTAAACGAATACAAATCGAAATTTGATTTTCTTTATAAACAATACAAAAAACACATTTTCCCCGTGGCTTTTCCACACTGAAGAAAATCCTAGATGGCGCTGCTGTGCACAGCAGCCCCCAGTGTGAAAAGCTGCACACCCCCGCAGTGCACAACCATCGATTTTCCAATACAATTTTCACGCATGTCTCACAGTTGGCTTTCCTTTGGTCGAATTTTAACCGCAATATCACAAATTACACACTTTGTCATTGAGTCCACTCAGTTGCGCTGTCAATTGCTTTTGTTCCGGTGATATTTGCACTATTTTTAATTGCTTATTTGTTGTATATACTCACATTTTGTTTAAGCAGTTTTTATGAAAATTCTCTTCAGTGGTTTTATCGATAAAATATGAATCCATCTTCAAAAATATACGGCAGTATATCTTAGTTATCAAAATATACCGTAAAAATACCGAGAGGAAAAACAAATTAATAGCCTTTTCCCACTGGTCGCATCCCGTATCGATATCAGACGCAAATATGCGGAAAAGGCGTTCACCTTGGATGGTGGAAGGACGGCCTGCAATCTGAACATACATATGAACATATGCACATCTCATTCCGAATACATTGCATTCCTTGCATACTGATTTGCATTTGTATATGCTGCCTGGGGCACCCGAATCGCAGACTCAGCGGTAAAGTTGCATGGAAACTGGTAAGAACTGACACATCTATATAGTGAATGCTGAGCCTTCTCCAGGACTCAAAACCTAATCGATGCAATGGATCGTGGAGCGTAAATTGAATATTGTTTGCAGGAGTGACAGCTGTATCCTGGCTGATTTTATTCTGCATCTTCCATATTTTGGTATATTGGCGCAAGCCGACGACGGTCACACTGTACGCGTATTTCTTGGCTGCGGCTGCAATTTGCCATAAAAAAACAAGAATTTCAATAAATTTCGCAATTAGCAAAGTGATCGGACAGTTTTTCGTGTTGCATTGACAAACCCGTGTGTAAACATGTGAAAGGAGCACAGGCAGCTAGTGCAATAGTCCTTGACGTGCCCCTGGGGCCAAACAAAAATATAACCTCAAAGTCGCGACACTTCGGTAGAGGCAGATGCACCTGCTCGGAAATTCATTTTTCCTGCCAAACCAAAGTGTGTTAGCTACATAAACCACCACTGTGCCGTGCCACAATGTCGACCTCGTCGGTTGTGCAGAATTTCGTGAACGGGCTAAAGTCCCGGAACCGCAATGTCCAGAACAAGGCCGCCCAAGATCTCTTTCTGTATGTCAAAACGGAGCTGCGGGAGATGTCCCAGGAGGAGCTGGCGCAGTTCTTCGATGAGTTTGATCATCATATATTCAACATGGTCAATGCGGCGGACATCAACGAGAAGAAAGGCGGCGCTTTGGCAATGAGTAAGTGGAAGAAACAAATTATCTAAAAATCTCTGCCAACCGTCTCCTGCTTTCAGAGTGCCTTATTACCAGCGATGGTTTGACCACCCGAAAGGGCATCTCTCCCTATCTGAATCGCTTGCGCGATCTGCTGCTTATCAACGATGTGTCCGTTATGGAAATTGCCGCCCGTTCGCTGGTCAAACTGGCCAATATGCCGGGCTCCAAGGGCGCCGACTCCTTTGATTTCGACATCAAAAAGGCCTTTGAGATGCTCAGCGGCGACAGACAAGAGGTGCGTACAGTGTGTACCTTTATTTGCGTAGTACTTACGCTCCTTTTCTTGCAGTATCGCCGCCATGCTGCTGTGTTTATCCTACGAGAGCTGGCCATAGCCTTGCCCACGTACTTCTACCAGCAAATCCTCACCTTCTTCGAGCACATTTTCAATGCCATCTTTGACCCCAAACCTGCCATAAGGGAGTCTGCAGGTGAGGCCCTAAGGGCCGCTCTCATTGTCACAGCCCAGCGGGAGAACACAAAGCAATCGAGTGAGCCGCAATGGTATAAGATCTGCTATGACGAGGCCAGTGCCAGTTTCAACCAGGATGTGGCTCTGGGCAAAGAGCAGAAGGGCATGACTCGCGATGATCGCATACACGGCGGGCTGATAGTGTTCAATGAGCTCTTTCGATGCGCTAATGCCAGCTGGGAGCGAC